AGGCTGAGGCAGAAGCATTGCATTTTTGAGCCCAGTCTGGACAACTGAGCAAGACCCTGCCTAAAATTTTTTAAAAATTAAAAAGGGAGGCCAGGAATTTAGCTCAGTGGTTCCATCACCTGCCTCGCAAGGGCAAGGTCCCAAGTTCGATCCCCGGTACCAAAATAAATAAATTAATTAATTAATTTAAAAGGATGGGGGATGTTGCTCAGTGCCGGAAAATAAAGGTTCAACAGTAAATAGCCTTTCAGACCACACAGTCTCTGCCACTGTTCAATTCATACCACTACAGCTCAAAAGCAGCCAGACCAGGCATCAACAAGTGGATGTAGCTGTGTCCCAACAGGGCAGCACTTACAACAGCAACGCAGGCCCACAGTGAGGCCTGCTACACTACCTTATTGACAGTGTCAAAAACATAAGGACACAATTTGTTCTTTCTCTGTCCTTTGTGCTGTTACCACATAAACTGATTCTCTGTGTGTTATAAACCCACAACACATTGTTAGTGTTCTGAGTTAAGTAAGGTCTAAAGAACAATTTTAAGTGAGAAAAAATATTTTATATTTGCTATTTTGTGCTCTTCACTCTTTTTTTAGACCTGAATTTCCAACTGGTGTCTTTTTTTCAACCTGATTAACATCCCTTAGCATTTCTTTTTTTTCTTTTTTGGTTTTTTGAGTCAAGGTCTCGCTATGAGAGCACTTCAGACTGCTCTGGAACTCACTGTGTAGCCTAAACTCAAACTTGCAGTGATCCTCCTTCCTCAGCCTCCCAAGTGCTGGGATTACAGGCGTGCACCACCACGCCCCGCCCTTTAGCATTTTTTACAGTATTATCTCCTAGACACAGATTCTTTCAGCTCCTGCTTGTCTAAAAAGTTTTGTTTAAATGGGCATGGTGACACACACCTGCAATCCTGGCACTTAGGAGGCTGAGCCAGGAGGATCACCATATGCTCGAGGCCAGCCTGTACTACACACACACATAAACTCATAAAAGTTTTGTGTTTCTAAGATGAGGTCTTGCTCTGTTGCCTGAACTCAAGTGATCTTCCAACCTAAGTCCCCTCTCAGTAGCTGGAACCAGAGGCATGACACTGGGCCCCGCTTTAAAAGATCTTTAATTTACCCTCAGTTTTGAAAATCATTTTCACAGTGTGCAGAATCCCAATTTAGCAGGTGTTCTTTTAACACTTTGAAGGCGCCCTCTGTATCTGGGGTTTACACTGTGTAGTGAGAGATCAGTAACTGCACATACCTCTGTTTCCTATCTGTAAATACATTCTCTTTTCTCTGGCTGCTTTAATGATTTTCCTCATTTGCAGATGTTCCCAGTGACTCAACTATAATATACTCTCATGTGGCTGTGAGCTTATCCTGCTTGAGTTTCACTGCGATTCTTGGACCATGGGTTAAGATTCTTCTCCTATGTGAAGAATCTGGAGGCCTTTTTTGTTTCTTTTGAGAGGTCTCACTATGTAGTCCAAGCCTCACTATGTTGGCCTCAAACTCCTGGCAGTCCTGCCTGAGCCTCCCAAGTACTGGGATTACAGTTGTGCACCACTACACCCAGCTGGAGACATTAATTTTTAAATACATTTCTCCTACACCTCCTCCCGGTTGGATTCAATAGTTTCCTCTCTGTGCTTTGATCTGGATAGTATCATTACACTGTAGTTAACTGAATGTACACATGTTTACTTCCACAGTAATTAATCTGCTATAAGTCCATCTATTAGGTTTTTCACACTAAATAATGTACTTTCCAAAAAAGATTTTAAAAAACAAAATATAAATAAATAATGTACTTATCAGCTTCTCAAAGTGTTGTTTTGTTGTTTACTATAACTGCTTTTCGGGGGAGATAGGCTCTTGCTATGTAGTCTAGGCTGTCCTTAACTCCCTATGCAGCCCAGGCTGGCCTTGAACTCATGATGATCTTCCTGCCTCAGCTTCCCAAGTGCTAGGATTACAGGTGTGCACCACATGCCGAGCAGTTTACTGTAATTCCTATTCTATCCTTTTTGTGTTCATTAATTCCCTTAATTTCTGGAACATATGAGTAATAGCTGCTGTAAAGTCATATGCTCATGCCTGTCATCTCTGGTGCTGTTTTATCTGAGTGTTTCTCCCATTTACCAACCACCTCGGCAGTTTCTTGTGGTCCAGTAATCTTGCATGTTGTGAATGACACATTGTTGGATATCCGTCTTCCTCTAACAAGTATTATTGAGCTTCTATCTGACAGGCAACTAATATATTTGAAAACCACCTTGACTCTTTGGAGGCTTGCTTTCCACTCAGTTCAGGCAGATTTGAAACAGCCTTTTCTCTACGACATGTTAGCCCTATCATCTCATGGCTCATGTGTGCTACCAAATGGAACTTTTTTTTTTTTTTTTTGCAGTCTGGGGATTGAACTCAGGACCTTGAGCTTACCAGGCAGGCATGGTGCCATTGAGCTACAACCCTAGCCCCCAATTTAACTTTTTATAGTGTTCAGTTCACAGGTCCCTCAGCAGTTTTTTTAGGCAGTTTCGTCAAAGGCTCGCAGTCCCAGTTCTCCACGCTGTGCACCCGCTGTCTGGTGCTGGCATCTTGCTGTTGTCCAGCAGGGGCGCTGCAGGGGCCAGGCGCGTGCCTGTGGCTCCACACAGCTGGACAGGGAAATCTGCCCTCAAGAGTTCCGAAGTCCTCACCTGAGACATTTACTACTTAGATCCATCTGAAGGTTTGTTCTGTTTCAAATACAGCATGGGGTACAGATCCAACCTCACCTTTTCCCAAGTGGATAAACATTTTCCAGTTCCATTTATCCAGTGGTCCTTTCATCTCCTCATTAATCTGAGACTACATCTGTACCACATGTACAGGTCTCTGAGAACTCAAACTCATTCCCCTATTACTCTCATCTCCGTGTAACATCACACCCTCTAGTACTGGAAGTCTTTGTACACTCTGAAGTCATTCATACCTCTTTCCTGCTCACCACCCAGGCGGGCCTACTTCTGCTTAGCCCTTAGTGTTTCCTGTAACATTTTAAGCAGTGGTGGTGAACCTATGGCACATGCGGTACAGCAGGCTGCCTGCATCACTGAAAGCTCTAAAAAGTTCACCATCACTGGATTAGACTCACCTAGTATTATGAATAATGCAGTTGTGATTTGTGTGGTGCTGGCACAGAGTATGCAATGTGTACAGAACAATTTTGATATTAAATATTTTTCCATTAACATTCTCCATTTATTTAAAATCAATTTTTAATCTTTCTTACAGGTTTTCATGATTTTCCTTACATAGGTTATGTAAATTGAGGGCTGCTCTAAACTGGCCTGGAGATCCTCCTCCTTCAGCCTCCTGAGTGCCAGAATTATAGGGATCCACCACCATGCCCAGCTAGGTCATTCTATTTTATAATTATTCTGAAATATAGAACATACTGATATTACTACTACTAATACCTTCATTGTACTTCTCCTTCATTGTACTTCTGATAGTCTGCTGCTGATACAAATAAATGCAACCTACTTCTGCATATTAGTGCTATATCAAGCCACTCAACTAAACTCTTATATCCCAGCTCAACTGTCATGAGTTTCACGCCCTCTGTGCACATTACTAAGACCTTCAGTATGAGCCAGGGTCACTTCCACTGAACTTTAGCAACTTCTAACTAGTTTCCTGGACTCTAGTTAAAGACTCTTATATATCCTTCTACTTCTCAAGGCTTTTATGTACTATGGTCCCTCCTGCTTAGGCATTCATTCCATCTCCTCATGGCTAACCTAACACCTCTTTATCCTTTCAGTTTGATTATTGCTCTCAAATACTTCCAAGTCTAGCTTAGCTATTTCTCTGGTGTATAGAGTATTATCCTAAATTTAACCTCTTCCATCTCTTACTACCCTGAATTGTTTATAAGCTTTCTGAGAACAAGTCTTCACCTTAACCTCCACATACCGCCAGAACTTACTACACTATCTGTGACATTTGGCAGATCAATACTGTATATACTATACTTGTTTAATGAATGCATGAATAAAATCTCATAGTATTTGAACAGTCCACCTGAAATAGAACTCTGAATTCAAATCTGCATGCCTCAAGAAACATCATTCCTCCAATTTTTAGAAAGACTATCCAAAAATGATAAATATTTTATCATGAAAGAAAAAAACGTTTTGACAACTATAACCTGCCACCTGTAATTAAAGAAAGAGGAAACAAAAGAAAGAAAATCAAATGGTAAAAAAAGCCCAAAAAACAAGCCAGGCATGGTGGCATACACCTGTAATCCCAGCACTCAGGAGGCTGAGGCAGGAGGATCACTGTGAGTTCAAGGGCAGCCTCAGCCCTCATAGTGAGTTCAAGGCCAGCCTGAAGTGTATAGTGAGACTTTGACTCAAAAAAAAAAAAATTATTAAAAAATCTTAAGCACTGAGATTTTTATTAGAGTGAACAACCAACTCCCTGTTTTTCTAAGGACTCAAGACTTTCAATGTTAAAAAGATGAACAGCCAGGTGTGGGGGGCACACACCTGAGATCCCAGAACTTGGGAGGCTGAGGCAGGAGAGTCACTGCAAGTTCAAGGCCAGCCTGAGCTACACAGTGAGTTCAAGGACAGACTGTACTACATAGTGAGATCCTATCTCAAAAAACAAAGTAAACACAAAGAAAAAACTAGGTAAACATCCAAGGCAAATCAAGGCAAGTAAGTGACCTTAATTTTGATATATAAACTTATATTTATATAAAACACAAAATGCTATCTTTAAAATTTTTTCTTACTCTGTAAGGCAGAGTAGACTATGGACATGTAATGTTTTTGGTTCACACAGACTCACATTCAACCTCAGCACCACCTCTTTACCACTAAAAGCTGTAAGTATTTTACCACAGTAGTGTAAATCTTTCAGAAATTCTAGAACATACATTGTTAACTGCAACAACACAAGCCCAAGTTCATTTCTAGTTCGTAAATGTGAGCTACCCCTTACCTGTGTTGCTTCCTCTACCCCCGTCCTCTGGTACTGCTTCATCCTTTCAAACACTGAATGGTCCGCACAGCCCCCCTGGGGCCCGTATTTATGAGGATAGTCTGAGGCACAAAGAAGAAACACCTGTTACGTTACATGCTTAGATTTATCCACTATCTTATCTGTGGAAAAGCAACTGTCATAATTAACAAAAGCCATAAATGCTCATTGAGTGCCTATGAAAAAAACAGTATGCTACTTCCTTTAAGTTTCTTTTTTTTTTTTTTAACTTTTATTGAGTTTATTGGTACATTTTAGGTGTAGAGTACAGTTACATTCATTATTGGGATCTTGTACCTTTACATGACAGGTCCTTTAAGTTTTTAAAACGTGGCAGGTTCTTCCACTAATAAGACTTGCTGGTCTCTAGCTTTTTGTCACGCAGATGGTTTGTAAGATTTCACTGTCTCAATCTTCCCCACTTTGGCTACACAGAGCATTTTTAAGTCTCTGGTTTACCTCTTTCTGTGATTTATTTCCCTTCAGACACATTACAAGTGCACAAAGCCACCTCAACCTCAACTACAGCCAGGTTAACGTATCATTATGTTGGCCTGACTGTGTTCTATAACAGCAACTGGCCCCAATGAAAAGTGAACTAGAACTGTGTTCAATGGCATGATAAAAGTGGATTGCATTTACGCTTATTCAGTGTATGATTTATATGAATTCTTTGCAAATAACTTTATCATGTTTTTCTATCACAATAAAATAGTGATAAATTAATCCTTAACTGAATTAGTTCTATTTAAAGAGGCTGAAGCAGAAAGAGCACAAGTTCCAGCCCAGCCTGGGCCATTTAGCAACTAATTGAGACTCCATTTCAAAAAAAAAATTTAAAAAGGGATAGGTATGTAAGTCAGTTGAAACCCCTGGGGTTCAATCCTGAGTACCATAAAAAAATAAAATAAAATAAATGCCTATTGCTATCTCACAAAGTTATACATCCTTTTTATTAAGTTCTTCCTTAGTTCATAAACATATTTTTAATCCAATCCAGTAACTGCAATTAAAAGAACTGGCAAAATAAAATACCAAGACATAAGTATGAGAGGAAGCAATGGAAAATCCTAAGGAGCTTATAAATATAATACACTAAATATAACTGTAAATACTACGAGCAATTTCTTAAGAAAACCTAGAACCCAAAGTGGACGCTAAACTATTTCACTGGAAAATTTCGTTAAATGCTACAAAAGAAATTTAAACTGTCAGGAAAGTAGTAGGAGTTATGGGTAACCTACATACAATGACAAAACAGTTCTGATTTAAAGCTTAGTTTTTATCAGAAACAGCTGCAAAAGAAAATCAATAAATGTGAAAAGAATGCTATAATGAAAATTACCATTCTGCAGCTGCATGCATATAACCTGATTTGGGCAAGGATGCTCTGCGGATGCAAGCGCACTCTGGCCCGAGCTGTGAGCGAACACAATGCTCCCTGCACTTCCAGTCAGAGGAAGGCTAGTATTAGGTGACTTTCTTATGTCACACAACAGGAAGTGCCCAGTGGTGAAGGCTTCAAAAACGATTAAGATATGATATAAACACACAAACTCCCCCAAACAAACATTAACTGCTATGCATTGCAAACATATACTAAGTGTAAATTAAAAAAAAAAAAAAGGTGCAGCTTCACCTAACCAAGCCAACACTCAGACATACTGAGAGTGAGAGACATGCTCACTCTCAACCTAAACAGAAGACAGATGAGGCCCGAGGATTTAGCTCAGTGCTGCCAGTGCCTGCCTCGAAAGCGAAAAGTCCCAAGTTCGATCTCCGGTACAAAAAAACAAAACAAAACAAAACACAGAAGACAGATGATGCATGTTGTTCCACCTTGAGGCCACGATGTTAAGTGAAGTAGGACACACACACTTAAACATCGCGTAGTTCTCCTAAACAAGGAATCCACGGTATGAATGGGTTGAGGAGCAAAATGTGAGATGAATAATGGGAAACAGGGTGACATATCTTTTGCAGACAGGAAGAGGATCAAGAGATGGAGGAAGGGGAAGGGAAAGAAGGAAAGGGGACATAAAAAGAATTAAGATGTGTTACCTACATGTACCAACTCCCCATGATGAATGTAGTCATTATGTAATACAACATGTACTAATTAAAACTAAATTGTAAAAAACAACTCATGTCATTTAAAAACTCAAGAACTGGAGGTGTGGAGTCTGTTGTAAATTAAGACACTAAAAGAGACAGAATAAATGCATTTAGACAACGTAAGAAATTTCACGTTTATAAAAATTTTATAGATATATTAAATTATATTATTAAATTAATGACAATTTTAGTACTGAAATATCATTATGACTGTGTAGGAAAATGTACACTGAATGAGACCAATTTTCAAAAATTTGGTAATGAAATCTCATTATGTCTGTAACTTACTCCCAAAAATGTTTCCTTCAGAAGGCACATGGGAGATGGGGCACAAAATGTAAAAACTGGCAAATCTAGTAGGAAAATATGTGCGTTCACTGCATAATTATTCTAACTTTTTTTGTAGGTTTCAAATTTTCAAAATAAAACTGGATTTAAAAGGTTGTAATATCTGGGAAACAAGTTCAAATAATTTTGAAGTGGAAAACTAACACTACTACACTACTGGGTAAGAAAAATCTAATATTCATTATTTTCCTATTTCACAGGTTGGCTTTCAGAAGGTGAAGATACATACTGTCCAACACATATTTAAGAAGATTCTACCATAGGTTGGGAAGTTTCACAGAATAGTGTGCCAAGATTTCAATTCTCATCTTTCTGGTTGATCTGGTTATAATCACCACAATCTTTCTGCTACTAATTCTAACCTGAAAATATCCCAGTGAACCATGCCCAGATTCTAACAGAACCTAGCATGCCCAGACCACCAGACCACCAGCTGCTGGCATTCCTCCCGGTGCACAATGCTCAATTCAATCAACACAGGAAGACTTTGCGGGCAAACACACAAACACTCACTCGAGTTCCTTGTTCCGTTAAAAGACTCCATCTTTGGAATTTTGCCAGTTATTTTAAGTACTGTATAATGCCAAATTCACTATTCAATCAACACAGGAAGACTTTGCGGGCAAACACACAAACACTCACTCGAGTTCCTTGTTCCATTAAGACTCCATCTTTGGAATTTTGCCAGTTATTTTAAGTACTGTACAATGCCAAATTCATAGTGTGATATTAGTAATTTATAATTCCATTATTTTGTGCTCTTTTGCCCCGATAATGGGATAGTCCAGTTTACAGTACCTAAAAACACAGTTCATTCTCTGGCTGTTTCTCCTCTGAATCCAAGATAAGAAAACAGTGTGTCTGCTTCTCACGATTACAGTGTGTGAGAGCACAAACCCTGCTGCAGACTCAAGCTCAGCAAACACAGTAAAAAGCCTTCCAAAATGCCCACACTCGTGCATTTCAACATAGAGAATATATGAGGCCAAATCTTATATTCTCAATTTTTAATTTATTATTCCAATGTAATACACAAGTAAATTTTAATTCAATTAGTACGATGTGTTTTATTTTTCCTTTATGACTCATTATGTGGCGCATTTAGATTTGCTGGAAGGGAGTCAACATTTAAGGTAGTACCTATTTTAACATTTACCTTAGGCTAATTGAAGTTCAATGAAAACAACATATATTTAACATGATTAAATTTATAGAATTAAATTGGATGCTCTCCTTCAAAGAGCTGTGTTTAACCAGTTCTACTTCATCATGACGTTTCTGAGACATCCTCATATCCCCAGCCCCTAAATGCTGCCTCTCACAAAGACCCAAGCACACACACACAGCGCACAGCTGACACTCCTCCCACAAAAATAACCATTTCACCTGGATCTGCCAAAGGAAAGTCCTGCGATTAAGTCACTGGCAGCCAGTTTTCAGATGAAATTTCCCTATATATTTTAAGCGTACACAGGGGTGGAGGTGGGTAGGAATAATCTGTCTGCCAAAACACTCAAAGGCCCTGGCAGGGATCAGGAGAAGGAATCAGGAGAAGCCCCGGAACTCTCCCTGTTCTTGGGCAGACATTATCCCCCCGATCTTTCTGAGTGTGTTAGTGGGGGTGTGGGGTGTGGAGACTGAATTCATGGTCCTCGCACTGAGCTACAGCCCGAGTTATTGAGACAGATTCTCAGTTAAATTTCCCAGGCTGGCCTTGAACGTGAATTCCTCCTGCCTCACTCTCCCTAGCAACTGTGGCTGGGATCACAGATATTGCCTCCACACCCAGCCCCTAAAAACACTCACAGGTGCATACCTGTAATTCCAGAATCTGGGATTACTTCATCTCAGCATTGAGCACCCTACCATCTTTTTGCACAGTCCTCAACTCTGGTAATCTTTCCACACCAGTGAGGCCCTCCAGTTACCAGTGCTGCCCACCCGGTGTTTACTGTCACCACAGGACCATCTCTCCCTGCTTATTCGGTTGCTCCAACTCCTCCACTGCATTCACCTTCAACTCCCACACCCCGGCCTTATCCCATGCTTAAAGGCAAGGCTCTACCTACCTCTCCGCAGCTGAACTGGACTGGAGAACAACTAAAATCTGTAACCTCACAGTTAGCTCCTCGGTACCCTGGTGATTGCACCCACTTTCTAGAGTCCATGCTCAGTCACATTCACCTAGGTGCACTAGGCAGTCCTCACTCTCCCACTCCTGAGGACAGGCCAGGCCTGGAAAGCAAGCTGAGACTCTGCAAGGGATCTCACATCATCCGGGAATGACAAATGGGCTGTGACTTCCAAAGTCTTTTGTCACAACCTAAAAACATTTCAATCCATGTATAAGGGAATATATAATAGTACACTATAATTTAAGTCAACATCAAGATCAGTGTTTAAAAAGAATCAGTATTTCTTTGTAAATTATATTTAATGTGCCATAAATTAAAGATACAAATTTCCTTTGAGAGCTTGAAATTTAAGGTACAAAAAAACAATTTCTAAAGCAACAAAACACTATATATGCTTCAAATTCTGTCAGTATTAATCTCTCTTAATAGGAAAAAAAAAAGAAGTATAAAATTTTTTCCATATA